GGTTGTGCAGCTTCTCCTCGAGCGCGGGGCAGATGTGAATGCGCAGGGTGGCTATTATGGTAATGCATTCCAAGCCGCTGCATTCCATCGAAACGAATCGGTTGTGCGGCTTCTCCTCGAGCGAGGGGCGGTGGTGAATGCGGAGGGTAGCGGGTATAGTAGTACACTCCAAGCAGCTGCTGAAAATGCAACGGAATCGGTTTTGCAGTTTCTCCTCGAGCATGAGGCAGGGGTGAATGCGCAGGGTGGCCATTATGGCAATGCACTCCAAGAAGCTGCTGAAAATGGAAACGAACCGCTTGTGCGGCTTCTCCTCGAGCGTGGGGCCGAGGTGAATGCGCAGGATGACCAGTATGGCGGTGCACTCCATGCAGCTGCAACAAATGGACACGGATCGGTTGTGCGGCTTCTCCTTGAGCATGGGGCAGAGGTGAATGCGGAGGTTGGCGGCCCGGATGGCAATGCACTCTATGCAGCTGCGGCAAATGGACACGTATCGGTTGTGGAGCTTCTCCTCGAGCGCGCGGCAGAAGTGAATGCGCTGACTGGCTATTGTGGTGGTGCACTCCTCGTAGCTGAATCACTACATCACGAATCGATTGCGCAACTTCTCCGCACACATGGGGCAGTTCCCAATCCGTGGACTTGGGTGGATGGCACTAGTAGCACAACCAGCTAAGTCCCTTTCAATCGTCCAACTACTCGAATACTCTGTCTCTGAAGCCAACACTGGCTCCCGGAATTGGCCCTTTCCAATCCCATATTCACTCGCTCCTTCTCTTACCTAGCTTTCACACGACTACAACCAAAAATACCACCTCCTCTTTACACACACCTCATTCCCGGCAGTCTACCGCCCCAAAACCGTAATCTGTTACGTACTCCAAAGAAACAATTATTCATTTTCCCGATCCCATATATTCTTCTGCCGCCGGCTAGCCCGGAAGACTTCCGCTACTATTTTCCAAATCTTGAATTACCTCATGTGGACTTCACTCGAATATACAAACCTGGATCTCTGCCCCTTGCCGCTTACCTGACCTCTCCAAGCCCACTATCCCTTGGTCTCCTTCATCCTGCACCCAGTCCAACACCTCCAACGCCCCCACTTGCGCCACATTACAGAAGCCCCTGGCGCACACCGAATGTTCAAACTTAGCCTTTTGCGCTAACCGACTCTTGTTCGACCCGGTCTCTTCATTCTCATCATTACCCCCCTTTGAGATCAACATTTGCTATCTTGCGG